GAGATGTGGCTGCTGCACGGCACGATGTCCTCACGGCCAGACCCAGACCCCACCTCTCCTGCCCAGAGGAGGGGTGGGTGCCCCATCCCTGGAAACATTCAAGTTCAGGATGGACGTGATGGAGTTGAAGATGTCCCTGCTCATGGCAGGGAGGTTGGACTAGATGACTTTCAAAAGTCCCTTCCCTTTAGTGACATTCCAGTCCCCATCCTGGACCACCAGCATCTTCCTGCTGCCTCACAGAATCCCAGAACTGACTGGAAAAGCCCTTTAAGATCATGGAGTCCAACCATGAACCCAACACTGACAAGTCCCCTATGACTAACCCATGTCCCTCAGCACTATGTCTACACAACTCTTCAATCCCTCCAGGGATGGGGACTCCACCACTGCCCTGGGCAACCCCTTCCAATGCCTCAGAGCCCTTTCAGCAAAGAAATTCTTCCTCACATCCCATCTCAACTGCCCTTGGTGCAACTTGAGGCCATTTCCTCTTGTCCTGTCCCTTGGGCCTTGGTTGAACAGACCCACCCCCACCTCTCTCCACCCTCCTCCAAGGGACTTGCACAGAGCCAGAAGGTCTCCCCTCAGCCTCCTTTTCTCCAAGCTCCACAACCCCAGTTCCCTCAGCCACAAGGGAACTCAGCACACTTGTTCTCCAGACCCTTCCCCAGCTCCGTTGCCCTTCTCTGGACACGCTCCAGCACCTCCATGTCCTCCTTGGAGTGAGGGGCCCAAAACTGAACCCAGCACTCGAGGTGCAGCCTCACCAGTACCAGGGTGCTCCATCCTTCCCGTAGCTCAGGCTCCTCTTCAGTGGTCAGACACAGCTCCGGGTTGTAGTGACAAGAGTTAAGACGAGACAGTCAAAAAAAACAGAATGTGAAGTAATTTTTTTTTTTTATATACAGAATACAGGAAAGTTTCTGTAAAGTCTAAAACGTTACAATTACTATGTACAGTGGAACTAGCTGTTCTGCGGCGGGGAGGTGGCATATAAACAAAAGAGACAGACAGGTTACGACAAACGATCTGCTACAATAGACAATTTGAGGAACGTCATACCACATGTAGCACTGTACACAGCTTTAAAACATTGAAAAAAATGCCATCACTGATGTATTTACACAGAATCCAACACTTTTCCTTATTTTGAAATAAAAAATAGGATGGACACCAGGAAAAGAACTCATTTCTCACTGCCCATAATACACAGTAGCTACTTGTAGTGCAACCATAGCAGGGAGGGATGGGAAAAAAAATAACTGTGGGAAGAAGAGCGCTTCTTTACATTAAATAAAACAATGATATTGTATAGATTTGCTGTATGAAAACTGTATTTCTCTTTTAATATAAAACTATTGTCACTGGCACAAAATAGAACAAGTTTCTGATTATTTTACAACTGCATGGGAACTATCTGTCAGAGAGAGTCCTCGAGTCAGACAGCGGTCACCCCTCGCTCTGACACGTCCTGCTCTCACTGCAGTTTTCCTTTTAAAATGAAATGTATAGTACAAATATATGTGCAAATGCCCCTAAAACTTGAGCAAAAAAGAAAAATTAAAAAAAGTTAAAGGTTCTTCATTTCATGCAAACGGCGTGTGAACAGTCTCTGGGCCGACATAGAAAATCCCACCTCGGTCTGTACAGTTTTGCATTGCAAGAGTCTGAGGGTGTTTTTCCTTACTCCAAAGCTCTTTTCCTAAAATTCCTAAGGAACGGAGTTGGACCGCAGCACGGGCACCTGGTGGGGTTTCAGAGAAAGCTTCTCCTCCAAGTCCATGTCTTGTACTAAGGCAGTGTCCCCCTTGGGCTGTTTGGTCGCAAATTCAGTAATGCTGAAAACAAACTGCAGGCAGCCCAGCTTGATGTAACTGCCGTGGTGGAGCAGGGCTGTCCCCTCCCAGCCAGCCCCACTGCCCCCTATCAAGCTGGAGCTGCTGGCTTTGCAGTTACAGGGTTTCCGATGCTGCCCTTGCGCCTGTGAATTCATCACAGCGGCTTCTTCATGCGGCTCCTCTTCTTGTTTTCTGCTTTTATGTCGTTCTGGAAAATAATAATAATCATAAAAAAAAGCATGTGAGATTTGGGCAGGCGGGCAGCAGTTTGTTTTCATCAACAGGAGCTAATGCTGAGGTGCCTCAGGGGTAAGAGCAGCCATGAGGCATTCGTCTGCAGGCACTGGTTGATAAAAGGGAAACAGGGATCTCCCCACAGCCCTGGAGAGACAGAGGCATTTACACATCTATTTTGGCAGCCAAAAAAAAAATAGAGGAAGCCGATCAGATGGAGAGCAGGAATAAGCTGTGTGGGGATGGGATGACTGTAGCACAGCCCACATCGCTCGCTCACAATCTGGGAGGGGAGGACACGCATGGGGAAAGCCCTCAGTCCAGCTCTGAACACCAATTCATCAGCAGAGCCAGTGCCAGGGAGGGACCTGGAGCACCGGAGGCAGGAGTGGGGTGAAGAGCAGAGCACTCTGAGGCACTCCCCAAGCCCACAGAGTCTGGTGTAACCCAGGCTGAGGCCCCTGGAGAGGCTCTCCTTTTGCAAGAGGTGCATCAACCACTGCAGAACAAGGGGCACCAACATGGAATCGATTTGCACCTGCTCCTGTCCCCCTCTAACAGCTCCCTGTGGTGTTACACGTGAGGCTGGCGCTGCCCCAACACTCACTTATCACACTCTGCACTTTGGCAACAATACTGCTGGGAGGAGTGGGCGTCATCTTCTCTGAGAAGTCACACGAATACAGAACGTTGTCCACGGTCGTCCCATGCTCACTGTAATTCAACAGCTCGTAATGTTTCGTATTCTGGAAAAAAAAGGGAAGAAGAGGAAATCAAGATGACAAGTCAGAAGGGTTCCTGCCCATACATTCCTTTGGAGCACTGAAACACAACCCCTCCCTCCCTACTGCTACTGATGGTTAAATAAGAGCAGTTAAACACCCTCCAGCCTCAGAGACCGCCAACCTGACTCTCCTGCATGGCTCATGCTCACAGAACAGCCTCCCTTCCAGCAAGAGCTGCTTCCTGGTAGGCAAGGAGGGCCAAAGCAGCTTTGAAGATAAGTGGGTTTTACCTACTGCACTTGGACCAACAGATCTTTCAGAAACAGGGATTCAGGCTGACTCTCACAAAGCAAGCACACCACTTCAACAGGCACACTAGATGCAGACTTAGCCCAAGGCCTGTGCCTGGCAGGGAAGAGATGTGCTTTGGAAAGCAGACACAAGATGGCAAGAGGGATGCCAGCGTGCTGCAGCAGCCGCCAGATAGAGACAGTCTGGGATTTATGGGCCTTTTGCAGACACTGAAATGCCAGGAGCGTTACCGTGACATTGCAGCGTCACACAAGCGGCGTCACGCTCAACTGAGCTTTGCAGAGGATGTTGACAGAGTGGAGGATATTTCAGGTTAGCTCAGAGGAATCATCTGAGGGCTGAAGACCTTGTCTGTGTCCCCCAGGGACTACAGAGCTTTAATCAAGTTACAAAAACTCCCCATGCACAGGAGAGTAAATTTTCAAGTAACCTGGTAGGCACCAAGGCTAAGCACAAGGTGCCAATGGCCAGAGGCAGAAACAGCAGACAGAGCTAAGGAGGGGGAATTCTCCCTCTGGAGCAACCACAGCCACAGGAGGCCTGCTGGAGTGTGGAAGAAGTTCAGTGCCTAGAGCCTGATTTAGGATTGACCACTGTGAGGAGATGCTTCAACACAGATTTAAGGTCTGGATCCCATTACCGAGCGTGTTCTGTAGCTTGTAGTGCACTGGAGGAACGGCTGAAGCTGGCTGTGGGTTAATCCTGGATCCTGCTCAGTAGCTGGTTGACAAATGGTGATAGAAAAGACTCTATCTTGCTTCAAAGACTGTTTCCATGCTAAGAGACATCTCCAGCGGCGCTTTTATTGGCAGACTCACCAGTCTATTTACTTCAAGAACAAACTAATCTCTGGACTGTAGTTAAGGAGCAACTGCAGACCTCTGTTTATGCTGAGAGCATAACTGAAATTTTGGTTAAAGAAATTATTTATAGAGTACTGCAGATGGCACGAAGACTTTGCACCACCATCACACCTGAAAGCAAGAGACTCGGAGCAGTTCCCTGTTTTGTCCCAGATGAGGTTCAATGTCAACATGTAAAGTTGAGCTTTTATTAACAACGCAGCTGGATCAAAAAGTATCGAACCATTTCTATTATTATTATTATTTCTTTTTTCTTTCCCTAGACACCAGCAGTGACAGTGCTTCCTTGTGGTCAGTCTTTGTCCATAAGCAGTTAGCTCAGAGAAATCATGCTGGCAGAGCTCTGTGCTTCAGAAAAAAGGGTTTGACAGAAAACGCTGACGCAGCCTTCACTGGAGTGAAACCATTCACAGCCCTGGCTCTTACTTTGTAGTTGACAAAGGAGCACCACACAAAGACAACCTGCTGCCTGCATCTCCAGCTCCCACTGCCATACATGCCAAAAATAATAAATGAAAAAAAAAAAAACACCAAAAAACCAATCCCAAAGCCAAAAAACACACACTCAGGAACTCACCTCATCGTAGAATATGCAGGCATGTTTGCCAGACACATAGTTACAGTGACCATAGCTCGTAAGGCACACATCCATATCAGCTCCTGTCAAAAGGGATGACAAAACAGGCTCAGTTCATTTCAGAGAAAAAAAAAAACAACCCAAAAAACTGTCAGGCAGCATAGAACAACAGACAGAATTAAACTTCAATTAGCAGAACAACAGGGGAGCAACTGCCTTTGTCCCCGCTCCCAGGACTGCATGAATAATGCTGTGATAAGCCACAGAACAAAGTTTCAGTGGGGGAAGGGAAAGCTAGCAGCTCCATGAAGGTTGAAGAGCATTTCACAGTTGCTGGGTCTATCCAGAGCACCAGAAGAATCTAAACAAAAAGAAATGAAACCTGCAAGCAAACTATCTCTCTTCTCTCCATCAGTCAGGCATTAAATCTCCAGGACAGCCATTCTGCTCATTTTGATACCAGCCACGTTACAAAGGTACAACCCCACAAAGATTCATAGAATCACAGAATGGTTTGGGTTGGAAGGGACCTTAAAGCTCATCCAGTCCCAACCCCCCTGCCAGCAGCAGGGACACCTTCCACTAGATCAGGTTGCAGACAGGGAATTTCCACGTTTCTCGGTAGTGAAGTATCCCAGTACAAGCGGCCACAGTGGGTGTTTTCTTCGACATCCACTTGTCAAACACTTAGGGAGGATCAGAGAGAACCACCCTGATTCTGAAAGGTCAGGGCAGGAAAAAGCAACTCACCTGTCCCAATGTAGAGGGTTCGATAGCACATGTTGACTGCACCCCCTAAGCCCATCAGAGGATAGAACACCGCCCGGGCTTGCACTTCCTTTCTTTGCGCTGCAAGATAAAAAGAAATTACTTGAACAATGTTATCAGCTATGAAGGCTGCTTGACCCCAGTGTCCCTGGTGCTAGACTCTCCAGAAAGCACAAATCCTAAGGAAGATGCAGTCAGCTTTGGCCTAAACTCCATTTCCCAACCCTCTAGGAGCGTTTGTGAATTAAACATCTTTTTGCCAGTCATCAGAGAAAATTGCTCTCTCTGGTAGCCCACACAAGCCATGCAATTGGGGGAATGTTAATACCCAGTGTGCACAATGGAGCCACACTGAGGAAAACAGAAGGCTCCTACCACTAGTTCCTTTCTTAATCTCTTCCACTTTGGGTAATCAAAGAGCTGAGTCGTGCAGTCCAAGTGCCACTTAAAAAAAATTGGTGCTGGTGAATGTCACCAACTCAACAGCTGTGATTTCACTTCTAGTGAAGTTGTAGGAAAAACAGATGGGTTGAAGAGAGCTTGTCAAGGGACCAAGCCAGCTCCCAGGAGAGGATGATTTACCAAGTGGACTCCTTTACCCTCGGGTTGGTCCCTACATCATGCTCGACCATGGCTGCTCCAGGGCTGAGCCTCCAGAGCAGCTCCCTGGTAGCCAAGTTCAAATCACACATTCCCATCTGCCCACATGAACTAGACAGAACAGCATCTCCTGTGGAACAGGCAGCAACTCTGGTGAATCACACAGGCCTAGCCAGGATTTCAGCAGTTCTCTTTTGGGGATAAGCCCCTTATAAGCAAAGTTTAGGCCTATCCTGATACTACATCTGCATGAGAGTTTTATACCAAGAGTGTGAAATCAAAGAGCAGAACGTGAGGATTAGGAGAGATTGTTTGCAGAGCCACCTACGTCAAGAACACTGACCACACTGAGTGACATCACTGGACGTGCAGCACTCAACACAGCTGAAATGCACAGGTTCCCACTGCTGCCCAGTTACCCCACATAAGTCCTTTCAGCTGTCTGGCTCTGCTGGCTTATGAAAGGTTTTGGATCTAATTTCATCAGCAATGCTAAACAGTCAGCTGGATGCATCATTCCCACCCAAAAAGGGTGATGGGTTAAGACAGCATTGATCTGCCTTTTTGAAAGGCAGAGTGCTGAAGAATTTCCAGAACTCATCTGTTAGGAGCAGCACAGGAAGGCAGCTCCTATCACAGCCTGGTGCTGTGTCCCACAGACACGTTCAAAAGAAGACTGACAAAGCATTTGGAGAACGCTGTGATGCTACAGCAGCAAGCAAGCAGGCAAGCACTGTGTTTCAAAGAAGGTTACTGACTGCTAGCAGACTTCCAAAGATCTCAGCTTGGATATTTACCCCCAGGCCTAGCAGAAGGGGAACAGACAACTGCTCCCACAACAAGGCTGTCCAGTTAGTGCTTGAAAGCAGATTAAATGGACTGGCTGCATGCAGAGGAACATGAAGCCACCTTCCCCCTGCAGCTTTAGGTGTTAGCATGCCAGTATCAGTGGCCATCAACAAAGCCATGGCTGAACTCAGGAATCTGGAGACTTCTAACAGAAGTGCAAGTTGTTTTCCATTGTTTACATTAGTTGCATTTAGTGTTTCAGCTTGATAGTGACATTATTCTGAAGGGCAATGACAATGGCACAGATATATTCTGTGCCCCAGTTCTTCCCATTCGTAAGCTTGTCTCACAAGCAACTTCTCTAGAAAGAGAGAACAGGAATTCACATATTTCTCTTGCCCACCTCAAAGGTAAGGACAAAAAAAACCCCAACAACCCAGCAGTTGAACCTCACCATCTCTTGCTAATTCTAAGATGAATAAAACACAACTTCACTAAAGATTTCCAGCAGAAAACCAGAAGTTACTGAAAGTGTTTTCATTGCCATAATGTGTAAGTAATTAAGTAGAGGGACCTGAAGGAGTTTCTGGCTAGTGGATATCCAGAGTTGAGGGATGAGAGGGAAGAAATGTGAAAGGCAGCATCAGACAGATACCAGAAGAAGAGGGAGATCTCCTTCAATGAACAGGCAAGGGAGTGCCACAAAGCTACGGCTCAACATAAACCAACTATTCTAGGGCTGCTCTTACCTTCAATGTGGTTTCCCACAGGAGATTGCTGATGGGAACTGACACTGCTCGCTAGAGACTGAGCTTTGGAAGGAAAGAGCTGATGTATTCTCTGCAAGGCCAGAAACTTGATCAGCTGCTCATCCAGCATATTTATCTCAATCTCTGTTAATAAACAAAAAGCAATTAGTAAGTTATTCATGGAAAGGGTGCAATCTGAGCTGCAGTGGATTTAACTGTCCCACTTTCAAACCTGCCATTTGCTTCAGCAGCAAAGACTTGACAAATTTTGCAATATCAAGAATCTTACATGGAGGGGATCTATTACTTCATGTCATCTGCAAGCAGCGTGTGAGGAGAGTGCCAGCAATGGCCAGAGAGCTACAACTGAGGCAGCAAGTAGAAGTTTAAGGGAACAAGGACTGGTAAGTTGAAATCTGCTGTTTTGGCTCAGAATCAACAGGTCTGCAGAGATCTGTGGACATCAGAGATTGGGTCTTTCTTGTGAAGCTCCATTATTTAGTCAAAGTCTAACCCTGTATTACAGAGGAAAGCACTAACCACCATGGAAGCTGCTACAGGCTCGTTCTGGAGTCACGCACGCGCTTTTGTAGCGGGGTCAATTAAACCAAACAGGGCAATTCAGACAATATTATTAACAAGCTTTGAAGCAGATCTGTTGCTGATAGCTTTAAATATTTATATTTGTAAAGCCCTACAGAGGTCTGCTTTCTGGCAGCAAGCAGGCTGGCTAACCTCTTCTTGCAAGAGCTTTCTCCACATCGACAGTTAAAACAGCAAGCAGAAGAAGCAGAGCTAATAACAGCCTTTCCCGAGAGCAGAGACACAGCCTGGACTGGCTGAACAGTCAGGGTTCACCCAAGAAAAGAGGGTCACACTGGCAGTGCCAGAAAAGCTGTTCTTCAGATGTAGAAGTTGTCTCTGGCAACAGCCTTGCTATGCTACTGATGATTGCTGTTCAGCAAGCTCCTCCTGAAGTCACTCCACTAAGGTTTGGCATTTCTTGCCAAGCGTAACAAACAGAAAATAAAAAATGGGCCAGTCTAGGAGAAGACTGACAGAAGCAGAAATAAATCAGAAAATTAACTGACCCATTAGAGCATCACCACTCGGGTGACTGCTTGACTACAAGATCTATTGTTGCTGGACTTTACACCCGTTGGGAACAGCTCTGGACTGCAGCTAGCACCATAACATGGCAGAGCTGCAGGTTTCTGCGTGTGAATTCCACCTGGAAAGCCGCCCGTGCAACAGCTTTGTGATCTGCAACAGCTTTGTGATCGTTCCCCAGAAAAGCTTCAGGCAGAAACACTTCATCGGCCTTGCTGCCTTGGCAACACTACAATTAGGGAAGCATGTGACATATTTAGGGTAATGTATACCCAGCCCGGCCCTCACCTGACTGCAACCCTCTATCTCTAGAACTTTTCCTCAAGCAGAGACTGAATGCTCTAGGGAAGCAAACACGCAGGGCTAGTAGAGATTGATAACGAACTAAATACTCACCGCCATCCATAAATGCTTTCAGGGAACTGGTGAGGTCCAACATAGCTGCAGAGTTTGAAGTGAGTGATGAGGGTAGAGTTAAAGCGCTTCCTATGGATAAGGTGCTGGGACTGACCTTACCATCTACAGGGAAAGATGGTGCAGAGAAGATATGTCACTGTGACGTTCGTGAGACATGCACCCAGCCCTCAGGCTGCACTTTGCTTCCAAGCTGCTCGGAATGACTAATTTTGCTCATAGTCATGCTTTGAAAAAGGCCTGAATTAAGAGGCCATTAGCTTTCTTCTCCTCACAGAAGGACTTGTGTGTGCCTCCAACACAGAGCCGACTGCCGGCTTCTGCCTCTCCCCTCCAGTTGTTGGAGGAATTCTGGATTTATACGTTTAAGTTTCTACTCCCTGTGTGAAGCAGCAGCAATGACAGACTGTAAGTGATGTCCTACAGAGACTGGAAAGATGAGCACCAAGTCCCCAGGAGCTTAAAGAGCTTGCTCAACCTAGAGCCATCTGCCAAGTAGCTTGTCTAGGTGTGAACAGGCATAAGAAGTACAATTGCCACATCTTTATTTCTGCATGATTATGGCATGTACTTCATTGTACTTCATTGTCTAGTATGTGACAGTCATAACCAGATTTTATTATTTATAAAAATAAAAATCCTACTGCTTTGGCAGTGACCATGCAGCTGAAAAAGGCAATAGCAAATGCCAGGAAACTAAATCTCTTTAATGCACTGTTGATAGCAGAGCTTGAGTTAGTTTGCTTAGAAGTAGAACTACTACAGGCCTGAAATTTATAGGAAAAAAAAAGTAATGAATGATTTGTGGTTTTGTACTCAGCAACAAAATTGGCACACCACAATTTAAATTTGTTATAAATACACATATATGCATCATGTTAGCTGGAAAGTCTAAATATTTACACCTTTCCCAAGAGACACTGCATCAAAATGACGTTTTAATCTGCATTTTGTAGAACCTAAGCTTTGCACCAAAAGCAATGGTTTAGCATCTTAAGTAACTGCCAAATTATGTAGGGTTTGCAGCAGCCTCCAAACCACAAGCAAGAAGTTTTCTATAGTATGGCCTCATTTCCTCTACCAAAACTTCTCCCAGCCTTGCATTTCTAAGCAGGGCACAGTCAAACTAGCAGCCTCAGAGTAACCAAGTTTCCTCAGCAATAAGCAAGGAGGCCGAGTGCTCTGGGGACTGCTTCCAAACACGAGGTAGAGCTCAGAAGTTACTCATTAAGGAATTTTAAGAAGAATAATAAGAAGATATTGTCTCTGTTGCTTGCAATCACTAAATCTGAGCTATTCCACACAAGCCTGCCACTGAGCAGCTAGGAGCTGCAAGAGAATCACTAAATCTGAGCTATTCCACACAAGCCTCCTGAGCAGCTAGGAGCTGCAAGAGGAGTGACAGACAGCTCAGTTGCGTGTTTCTCAGCTGCTGCTTCCAACTCAACCTGCATAAAACGTTTAATAATCTGAGTGTCGAGCTGGTGCAGAGGAAGGGAGGAGGAGAATGCTTTGAGTGAAAGCTACTCTAGCAAAATTTGAGTTACAGGCAGTTACTCCGAGTTCCAACAGCTATCAACATCTTTGAGTTGATGTTTTTATACTGAAGGATGGGTATAGACACTTTAACAGCAGTTTTTGGGTACAACTCATGACAGAGATGGTGTATCCACTCTGTAACCACCCTGTATTAACAGACCAGCAGATACTAAACAGACTCCACCTTCCCAAGTCTGTGTTTCTCTAGGACTGTGCAGCTGAAGACTTCAAACACATCTGTGCTGGGGGACACAACCATCACCACAGCAGTTACCATGTACAGCGACCTTGGGATCAGATGCCAGGCGGCTGTTCTTGGGAGAAGGACTACCTTGCAGTCAGAGTGCTTTAAAACAAACGTAGTTTTAAGGCACCATCGCAAAGGCCAGTTGTTGAAACAGCAAGACAGCGGCCAACTGATTTCAAACCACTGTTGCTTTACAGAATTAAAGCACTGATCTGCTATCCTGCTTCTCAGGGCAGAGTTCCCCTCTCAGGTATAGGCAGCCAGCAAAAACACATCCCGTGGCTCCCATGAAGGTACCTGAGACAGAGGAGGCTTGAGAAATTTCTCTCTCATCTCTCCACAGAAAACCTAATTCCCAGTTAAACGAGGGCACACTGCTAGAGCCTTGAGGTTCAGAGTAACATTTAGCCTGAACATTTCCTCAGCCCCGGGGGGGCCAAGATCAGCCCTTTGGCACGTACCTGAAGGTGGTGCTGGTGAACAGAATCTGTTTGTGGACCCAACAGCAGAGATCCCATCTCCTGCAGCCTGGGGAGGGGTGAGAGCCCTCGTGGCAGTTAGAGGGGAGCCCATCGATCTCAGGTCTGCCGTCAGTGGTGGTCCTATCTGTGTCTGCACATTCTTTCTTTGCAAAGTGCTGGTGGTCTCCAGGCTGGCACAGGTGCTCGATATGGACGTAGGCATACTTGTAACCGGCACAGAACCCCTTTGTGCACAAGAAACGGGTCCTGCTACGTTCTCCGTTTTGACAATGGTTCCAATGGTGTGATTCAGAAGTCCACAAGTTGCTGGGGGCGTGAGGGGCCGAGGCCACGTTTGCCGATGAGACAAAACAGGTATTGTGTTACCAGACCCGATTAGTCTCTGGGAGTCAGTCAACTGTGCTGAAGATTCGGCCGAAACGCCGTAGAAATGAGGACCGTTCACTTTAACGTCAGAGGCTGTTGGCCCATTCGAAGTCCCGCAAGAAGACACCTTCTTGGATTTATCTATACAAGAGCTGCAGTTGACATCTTCCTGTGACAAAGTCTGCTGGGATTGCGAAGAGCTCAAGGAATTCTGGGTGGTAATCCCTGAGGTGCAGGATGACATGGAATAGAGGGAAGGTGTGGGTGCCTTGTCAGCTGCCTGGTAAGGGTTGGCGAGTGAGCCGTCTGCCACAATAACAGGCTTAATATCAGCCTTCTCTGTTTGTTCAGAGTCCCAAAGTGAAGTCATCTGCTTAGCAGATAAATGTTTCAATATGCTGCACTGGAGCGCAACAACACTACAGAGCCACTGGGAGGAAGAAAAAAGGGCAGGTTAGCTCCACAGGCAGACAGTGCTCCAAACCTCAGCACTTACTCCATCATTCACCCAGGCTGGAGAAATTCAGCTGCCTCACTGTGCTGTTGACCGCCCTGATGCAGCCTGGAACTACAGCATCTGCTCTGATGCTCATCTAGAATCAGGAGGAAACTTTGTCCAGATGTACTAAAGTTAAGTACTGTTTATCTTCATGCTGGGGACAGTACATGGAGGAGCTGAGATTAAAGGAGGGAGAAAGCAGCAGATGCACTTCCTCACCCCCAAACCTTTCCTTCTCTTCACTTGTTAAGTCTTGCAACTCTTCAGCTAGTTACACACACATCTTTCACTAAATACAGGCTTCTCTCCAAACACAATCCTCCAACTTACTCTGCAGCTTGCTGGGAAAGAAACGCTGCACTGCCTCACAGGGTGGGGAGTCACCTGCTAAAGCTGGGGTGGAAAGCACCTTTCCTTTTACACGAGGTAAAGGAAAACCAGAAGATTTATGTGGAGTTTTTAAGCTCCGTGGTGAACGTGCACCTGTCACACAGAAGAACCCAGCCTGAGTGAACAGAAGGATTCGGCTACACCATGGATTGCAACGCAACATGCCTTCGTGTTGTGGAATCTGGCAAGAAGTTTCATACAAGATTTAAACACTCATTTGATCTTGATTTAAAAGACTAATTCTATCAGCAATAAAAAGAAGCCCAGAAATGTGACATTAACATACAAATAAACGTGTCAGAGAGCAGTCTTGCATAATCAAAGGGGAAAGTATTTCCCCTCAGCCAGGAAATAAAAAATGACACCTAGACAGAAAGCCCTCTTAAAGCCAGATGACTTTCACCACTTCCCTGAAGTGTCAAATGAGGAGTTTTACATTTCACCTGGAAAGCCAAAATGAAGTTTTAATGGGCAAGGGTGTCAGAGACAAGACATGCTATTACCTTCAGACATGATTTTGAGACTGGTTTCCTAGACAACTGTTCTGATCACGACTGAAATGGAAGAGGATCTTTGTACCAAAGCAACTACAGACATAGAGTCCAAGCATTTGACTTCATTTACCTCCTGTTGTTCTGTCTGGCTGGCTAAGTGCTCAGTGTTCAAAAGGTGCTTCTGCAAGGGTTCCTCAGGGATCCCGTTACAGATCAGCTCGCCATCTCTAATTGCTGCAGGCGCAAGTAACGGGGGTGGAAGCCGGTACTGGGACTTTATAGCATCAGGAACCTACATCGTAGAGAGAGAAGATCACACATGAGAACAATTACTCAAGAATGGCTACTTAAAGTGCCTAACCAGCACTACGCTGTGTGTTTGCTGCTTTCTGACCCAAAGGAACCCTGCAGACAATACATTAGAAGTTTCAAGGACTGAGTACTTTAAATTGATGCAGCTACGCTGAAATTAATAGTTTTTATTCCCTTAGGTCAGGGATGACTTCAGCACAATGTGGTGGCTACAGCATAAAAGAAGTCATACAAAAAGGCCAAGTAAGAAGGGAAACCTTTGTGGCATTTTTCAGGCATTCTGGCAGCAAATGCTCTCCAGGGTGTAACACAGCAGCCCCAATTCTGACTGTAAGTCTACCTTCAGGAGGTTGTGTCTTGTACTTTCTATGCCTGTTGTAGATTTAAAGGCTTATTTTTTTTTCCCCCACCATTCCTTATGGTTGGTGGAAAAAGAGCTTCTTAAATCTTACACGTAAGTGAAAAGTAACTGCTGCCTTCCAGACCTCTCACCAACACATTCATTCAGACCCCACCCTCTTCCTCCTGCCCCGAAAGGCTATTCCTACAGGGCGTGCTGGTTTCCCTTCCTAACTAGAATACATACACAAGGATTTTCACCGACACCTACATGTTTACACATACCTTCAAACCTTTTCTCTTTACTGATTGAAGAACTCTGCGATTCGGAGGGTGTTTCTTATGGATTCGGTTTAAGAAATCCACTTTGACAACGTGCTGAGAGATGGTGTCCTGGAACCGGTCAAATACTCGGCACCGATTACTCAGGGTCAAGTTCTTCTGGTTCAGCTGGGTGATCAGATAATGTCACACAAGTTAGGGATCTAAGGGTCACTAACGTACCCTAAGACTTTCATAATGCCTCGTAGTGCTGGCAGTACAGCATCAGCTCAGCTTTAGACTGTTTGTTTCCTGCAGCACTAACCATTTCTGTTAAAAGGCACATTGCTGGAGATGAATACAAAAGCATTTAGAGGCTTACTAAGCAGCATCAATGCTCTCAAAAACAGTTTGTCTGGGCACAAGGCCTTTGTTTCAGCCCCCTGTTTCCTGAGTATTGAAGTCTCAAGTACACTGCTTTTCCACAAATGAAAACTCCCTCTTGGAATGAAAGTTTTTTGGGTTAAGCATGCAAAGAATTACTTCTCCTATTTGTAGCACTGTGCTGCTTTGTATCACCGTTCTGGAAGCTCATCTAGATCTTAAGGAGTCCAGTCTGAAAACTAGACAAGCTGTCAGTGAGCCACAATCTGAGCTGTCAGCTTCAGTTACAGGAAAGAGTTCCCCCATCTTTATATTTTATTGCAGATAACAGCATCAAATTCCTTTGGAGAGAGCACTGCTTGCAGCAGGAGCTTTACAAACGTTACAGGGAGCAGTGAGAGTTCAGAAGCTGCTTTACATTTGTTGTACTTTGTCCTTTAATGGACCTGCCAGGTTCCACTCCAGCATCCAGTTACCATACTGCGATCATAGTCCTGCTTACCACCACGTGTTCTATGTGATTTGGGCACATCCATCTACCAAGAGGCATGGCAGTAAGCGGTGGCTCCAGACAATCCATGTGGAACAGAAGTGGGCAATAATCACACTGAATTAGAGGTGCCACTCTGCAACTCCTGCAAAGAGAGCATCGTATCTTAATTCCCAAACAGAATATGGAGTATAAAATGAACACGCAGGCAAGCTCAGCTAAACATTTTAGCTTATCTTTCCCCACCAATTCCCCTACGCTATGTTACTTGCATCTAAAATTAAGCTTCTGATTTGTAACTTGATCTATAGGGACCTTCTGCAAGACCCACTCAAGGCAAAAGGACTTGCCCATGGACACGAAGGGTTTCTCAGTGCAAAAGAGATCCTTTAGCAGGAAGAGATGCCGTTGCTGGAAAGCTGCAAGCACCTGTCAGATTCATATAAACAACTTCTCAAGCTGACCCTGTGCACTAGTTCTGAGCGGCTTCGTTTAGAGCAAAATTGAGAGATCAAAAGGAAATGTCAGATTTCAGTTATTACAATTTTCCTCAGATGAATCTTGTGTGAAGTTGGGACATTTATTTCAACAAGATGTTCTCAGGACAAGTCTCAAACTCCAGGAAGCCACTACACACGATTGCTCAGGCTTTAAAGAAGACATCACTCTATGACAGTCATCAGCTGTTCTCCACAAAAGCCCACCTGAGTCTCCAGCCCACTTCCAGAAACTCACTCTGACTGCGTTCCTGAAATAAGGCTCTTCCTTTTCACTGACATTTTGAATTGGGATTTTTTATGCATTTATAAAAACCAGCAGTATTTTGTAGTGGTTTTCAGATTTACTATTTCAGCACAATATTACTGTTTGCCTTGGGCTTATATTTCTCTCAACAGATTTCTATTTCCTAAAGGCCATCTCCCCACATACTTGCTTCATGAACCCTAAACAAATATCTCTGTTTTCTAAACCACCATCACTTTAGCTTTTTTCTTCGTAGAAAAATAGTAGACAAGATGGCTCACTGTCTTCAGGCTACATTTTAAAACCTTTTACAGCCACCCAGGGTTGCAGAAGCCACACCTACACTTGCCATGGTTAAACATCTGTTATTTAGCAAAGATGATTATTCCCTCATTTGTTTACAGGATTGTAAGCAAGTAGTGAAGGAGAACGGAAGAGGGAACAGGTCATCCACTTTTTTCAGCAAGAACTTTGCTCCTCTGAAGGGTGCAGCTACACTGAACAGCTTTCCTGGAAGAATCAAGTACCTGTTGCATGTGAAGCAGACCTTCACCGGCAAAGGAACCAAACCATTGTGGTCTAACTCATGTTGTGCTTTCTTGACATTCTTTCCTGTGGTTTCTTCCTTTCTTCTCCTCTTACTAGTACCTGAAAGTAAATTTGAAAAGGCTTTGAGTTATCCACATAGCAGAGATTTGCTTTCTGGTAGATACACATAATCATCTCAGGCAGATGCAAACAGAAAAAGCAAAGAGAGCTGCTTAAGGAACCCTTATCAACCACTAAATCTAGCCTTAAATGACAGAGATTGGTTTTAAAGGCAGGCATATTTTACAATTCCATCATTTCACTTACATCCTCTACATTAAGTCATTACTTTGTTACTAGATTATCATAGTATAAATCAAGTATTTTGACAACTGGACTTTTTTTCTTCAGACTGATGATCTAGACTAAGGTGACAACAGCAAGCCTCTATCCCAGGTGCTAATGGAAGTGTAGCATGTAGTACCAGTGTCTCCACAGCTCACATTAGAGCGTCACTGGAGCCACAACTGCCAAGGAGCCAAGAGGGAAATGAGGCAAGATGGCAGCAGGATGCAACTGCAGATACCTTCATCAACACTCGACGAGCCATGGCTCACCTGGAAGTGCTGTGGTGCAGGTGAGTTCATTCGGCAACTGGAACTGCGTTGGGTTCCTTTCCATGGCAGCAGCAATAAGAAGCTCAAAGGGTCGCTTCAGCTGGGGCTGCCCACAGTCCATTTCTGCAATGGCAGAGTCATCATCCACGTCAATTATGTCCTCATCGACATCATTCTGCTCTGAGTTGGGGGTCTCGGTGCTGGCATTGGATGTGGGAGTGCCAGGCCGGCTCGCTCTCCTTTCCAAGATCCTGGCATGCGCATTAGCCCTGATGCTGCTGCTAGACCTGTCCAACAGGTCTGCGTCACTGGTGGGGGAGGTGGTCCTTTTCCCAGATTTGTCCACCAATCCATTTACCTGCCCCAGCTCTTTCTTCTGTTCTCGCTTCTGCACGACATGAATAGGCAGGCTTATCATGGAGGCCACAAACAAAAGCACATCAACCTTGACAAATATGCAATCGAAGACAAACAGCATCTGAAAAGCCACTTACTACAACTTCCCCCATGTAGTCATTAAAGCCTTGACCCAGCAAAACCAATTTGATTCCAGCTAATGTACAGGTGACAAAAGAGCTGAAGGGAACCAAGCATGGGGAAGAAAATTAGCATGTCTCTCTCCTTTCAGGATAGCCATATTTGAGTCCAGACCAGGAAATTTCACATAATCTAATCCTAAATAACTGACAAATCAGACAACTCTGTTTACTTTGCTAGCCCAACACTGAGAAACTCCACAGTAGATGCAGTCTATTAACCCTGGCACAGCATCCAAACCCATTACAGAATGAGAAGGTCAGCTTGAGAATACAAGCACAATGTACAAACAACACTCTGCTATCTCTTGACGACAGGAATCTTGAACAAGGTGGGCAGGGAGAACTGCAGCAGAGGAAAGTGATACGTTGCAATAACCATGAGACCCATTTTGCAACAGGAGGGGCTGCTGCATGGCCTAGTACTAGCAACTGTGCACTGCTCCAGTGCCTGACAGCAGCACCAATATGGATGAACCAACCTACTCCATCACTGAAATAGTCTGTAAAAGGAGCAAAGTGTTATCAGGCAATTTTTAATACAGAAAATTTGGGGAATTTTTTCTTCTTTTTCCTCTATTTTTAATTTATTTTATTATTATCTTTTAAATTTGTGACCTTCATTTTTACTGTTGGCAGATGGCTGAACAGTACCCTAGAAACACAACAAGGCAACCGCTTCAGGAACAAAAGGCTGAGAACACAGGTTTTTTTCCAATCTGTTTTGGGTGTCACTTCAAGAGAACAGTTGCTAGATAGTTTGGTGCTGTTTCTAAACCCTCTGCTACGCAGTCTTACGTAGTCACAGCAATAAGATGTTTACATTGTGCAAGACAGCTTCCTGGAGAAAGAGCATCAAGAAAAAAAAAAGGAAAAAAAAGAAAAAAAAAAGACAAGCCACAATCTTGCCCAATCATCTCCTCCCCATCCTGTTCAACAGCCCAGGAAATCATAACTCACTGTGATTTCACCCTCTGCTGATGTGCAACTGCTGTGAAGTCACACTTCTAAAAAACACACATTAACCAGAGTCACAGCCCTGATGCCAAAGTTGCATTAACGTGACTCCTGTTTTGCCCGTAGACAGCTCACCTCTTCAAGCATTCCCATTCCCTCTGTGCCTCAGCAATCCCTCCTTTCCAGAAGTGGGGGAGGGAAGGAAAACAGTTTAAAAGGCACAGCTTAACAAGAACACATCAGGCACTTCAGTTTAGGTTCCTAGTAGTGAAGTTAAAAATACCAGGTCTCATCAAGACCTCTGAGTTTTCTTTAAGCCTGTTCCTAACAAAGCCCTTTGCAACTCTGAGCACAAAGAGCAGCTCTGGTGGAACACAGGTACACATTAAGGGGAGAGGAAGGTATAAAAACACAGGGTTCACATTTCAAAGGGACAGTCAGAAGGGCAGGGATCACCATGTCTGTTAGAGAAGCTTTACCTTGCGGCGTACAGTGCAGCGGTGACACATCCACTCCCCCGGAGGCAGCATTTCCTCACTGAGCGGAGGGTTGCTACAAGAGAAACACAAAGCAACGCTTTACTGTTATTTCTGGAACGCCTCTTCTCACGTACAGAGTCAGGGCAGCTCTGCAGGTTCCACTCCCAGGCACTTCCTCCTTTTCTTTACAGTGATGCTCCCCGGCTTCGCTCCCCCGTATGTACATTCATCGAGACACCCCTAAGAAGCCAGTCGTCCATGACACCCATCTCATCTCCACCACGCAGCACGCTCCATGGTTTCAGAGGACAGGCTTGGAATTGAACAGCAAAGATAAATGGAAGATTCACTTGTGTGTAACACATCTAACTCCCTCCTAACACCAATGACTCCTTAAGTAACTTGATTACTCCATGTAAGACTACACAGATTCCTGTGCAGCAGGCACAGCTGTATATCTAGGCACCTCCATCCCTTGAATTTGCAGTGCAAGTCCAACTGAACAAGCTGCCATGAAGACTACCCACCACTTCCCATGTACTCCATCCCTGGGCACACTTATTTAATGGTGGAAACATCTTTCTATCTTAAGACAACCCAAATACTCTTAAAGTGTCACCATAAAGCTTGCCTTGGCTACGAAGCGCAAGATACATCCTACTCATATAGATCTGCAGTTACTAGAAAAGCTGTATCACATCGAAATGACATTCTCATTTTGATGCTAGAAATAAACCAAAGCAAATTAGAAGAAGGAGTAAGGAGGACTATTTTGAGAAACACTTTTCCTCAGTTAAAGGCAGAGCAGCATATGTTAGATGATACACTTTCCTTACAGATCCTACTACTAGCTTAAGTACTTTCCAACACCTCTTTATCATTAAGATTTGTTATTTGAGCAAACTGCTGACTGTTGCAGGAAAAATGTACATGCTGTCAGATAAACAGCCAGTTACCACGCAGCACGGCTTTAAGATACACTTTTAAAAGTTCTCTCTCCTGACACTAGAGACAGAGGCACAGCAAGTCTGTTCTCTCACATTCAACGGATGGGTGCACTGTCGCAGGACCTGGAAGCTCAATTTCCCACTGACAAGGAAATGGTTTACAAGGGATCCAACTGGGACTGACTGGGTTACAAGGCGAGCAAGCAGTGGTGTGGTCACACCAACAAGGAGCTTACAAGACTTGCCCAAGAAGCCACACGAGCACGGGCAGCCAGGCTGCAGTTCACTTTGGGAGTATCTCTACTGTCTGTTGCATCTACAAATATCAAACCAAATCCAAGTTAAGCTTTCAGAAGTCTCCAGCACTGTCAGACCAGACAGGATAAGATGCATATTTGTTGGCCAGTAAGAGCTGTGCTTTGCAGCAAAGGGAGAGGCTGTCTTCCTCGAGAATCTTGCTCCAAGCACGGGGAAATGGCACAGGATCCCAGCCCAAACTCCCAAGCTTGAGCTGTAAAAACAAACACGCTTCCTTTGTTTAAACAGAGTCCCGGAGAGCCTTGCCCCGAGCACGCCAGTGTGCCAACAGAAAGGTACCGCAGCCATCCAGGGTCACACTCGGTCTTGCAACACTGTGCCTGGAAGACTGAAGGAAGAACACAGCAAGATCCAAACTGGTAATAACCTCAGCATTTCTGGTGTCAGGCTCCAGGGAATTCAGTAGAGCCAACACATCTGGCAGCCATTTTGAGGAGGAGTGCAGGGTTTCAGAGGCCTCCGTGTTCCAGGCGTTCCAGAAATGCAGCACTCTGCATATATGCACAGACATACCTGCAGCTTATGTTTCTCATTTCCTGGAGGACTTGGATGAACAAGTGATCAGGCTCTAGCACCAAAGCCTCAACTACAGGCTGCTTTACATGAAGTCTCAAATGTTTGGCTGAAGCTGTAACTTCCCTCTGCCCCAAACTAATCTTCTGCTAATAGAAGCTGGGAAGGGAGGTGAAAGGAGGAGAGTAACAAATGATCCCCGTGTGCTCACTGCAGCGTAAATCCTGAGGTGGATCCTGCAATAACTCAGGCTTTACTCCTGCTAGAAAACAGAACTCTTAGATCTGCAGCTACAGCGAGTACGGATTCATCTGGCCCTCTCCCCTCCCAGCACCCCAGGGGGAAAAAAAAAACCAACCAAAACCCACAGACTTTGATTTGTTCCTAGTGAATTTTAGCCCTCTGAAGCTACCGACGAACGTGCCTGAACTGCTGGAAACACGTCTGCCCCGTTCCAGTGCACGCGCAGCACGCCAGGGACCCACGCGCTGCCAGGCGCCTCCGGTTATTTGCTTTAACCGTTACCTCAATCTTACTCATTTTTACAATGAAACAATTAATACCACGGTGAAGTCTTGAGAGATGCCTAGAAGAGTCAGAACAGGTTTCTTCTCAAGTGTTTTATGTTATTGTCCCATTTCTTATGTCTGAACTATAAGCTCCACAAGCATGAGATCCCACATCCACTGTACTCTTAAAGGACAGCTTAGAGAAGTGTTTTAATGGATGCTGCTACTCACAGGCCTGTGGAAGGAGGGGGAAAGATTAGTTTCAGACCAGCAGCAAGGTTTTAGCTCTCAGAGTAGCCTCCTGAGTTTTTTTTTTACTTGCTGACAGGGTCTAACTGCTATAGCAAGTGTATTAAAAGACTGATTCTGCTTCTCCTGGTTAATGAACTGTTCATCAAGGCAGCTCACTGCACTAACAAAGACTGATGAATGCTGTTCTTGCACTGCCGGCCCCTCTGCAAGCAGAGAGCATTTCCTGGGTCTTAGCATAAAGCCAGGGAAGTGCTAAAGAATGCTGTTTTAATTGACTAGTTATGACCACATTCTTCAACCTTTTACTGTAAGCATAAGAGAAACTGATTTTTAAATCTGAACAAGATACTTGATCTTCATAACCAAGGTAAGAATTAGCACTTTGGCAGGAGCACCACGGCTGCTTTCTTCCTATCTTTCATAGGTTCATTAGCATGCAGATCTCCAGCCCTGAGTGTTTGCTGCCAACAGGACCTGGAATTGTACAGCACCAACTTTATCTTCAGTTACAACACATCTCCTTTCAACTACACACCAATCAGTTGTACTATTCTGTACGATTTCGCTGAACCTTCGTTTCAAAAAGTTTCCTTGTTTGTCATCACAGGAAAGAATGGTGGCCAAGAGCTATTTCACCTGGAAGGTTTGGTGTGACCCGAATCAAATCTGCTCAGTGGAACACACACATTTCTGAATTTAAGACAAAAACAGCTCTGACAAAGTGAGTCTGACTTTCAAGGTTAATTTCTATGCAAACACCTGGAAGAGTAACTCATACAAAGCCTCTGGAAATTAAAGGAGATGTTTATCATTGCCTGTTCAAAAGACACCACACTGATACAGTCACCCTCTGTAATGCCAGTCTTGGGGCTTTTTCTAAAACAAGTCAAGTAGCATCACCTGAAATTCAGACCAGATTTGTGTTGTCAAGACTTGCTCTTGTAAACTTTTGGACTAGCTCCCACGGTCAGAACATTATGCAAAGCCTCCCTTAAATAAAATTTAAATAGCTACAATGAAATAAAATAATCTTCAAGAGTCATCCATATATCAGGAGTTTTTATCAAGCAAACAATAGCATGAAGCCACTTATCTTTTCAATTTCACACTCTGGAACTCTCACACATCAGATGCCTGTTGTTAGTCTAAATCCCGTAATTACTCTTCACTTTGCTGACCTCAAGAAATAAGTAAACAAATGCTCAAAGGAATGGCACCTTCTTCAATACAAACTGGGCCACAGCTCTCAAAGGAACCAGTTATAAGCAAACCTGAAGTTATTTACACACAGCATTCCTGGTGGCCATCTTGCGTCAAAGGCACGTTGATGCTACCGAGAGCACGCTCCGGACCCAGTCAGCTCTCAGGCTGAGGTAACGGTGACAGGAAAATAATCTGGTGTCTGGCAAAGCTTCCTTGGATAACTTCTTGGTTTTTTTTCAACAACTGGACTTTGATTTGTTTTTTGGGGTTTTTTTCTGTGCAGGGGAAAATAGTAATCCCAAGAAAAAATAAGGCAAGAACACTTATTCCTTCTCAGAAATCTTCTAATTAACTTACCAAGACTCATAACGAAGGATGCTGGTTACATTTGCCAGTTAGATAAAAGAAGAAGGCTTTTGGCTCTTCTATTGGACTCCTATTTATCCCAATGATGGATAGAGCTACAGCTGTTCTACCAGCTTCATAAAGAATGAGGCTCCCTGGCTTGCTACAGCAGGGCCTCAATGGCAGCCGTAGCTAAAACAAACCAGGAAACCAACCTCACTCTCAGTGCATCACAAGGGCCTCATTGAGGAACACAGAAAGTTGCATCATTTACAAATTCAGTTCTTTGAAACAGTTTTACTGCACCCAAATTACACACTTCTGTTCACAGCTGCTCCAAAAACCCGGCAGGAGAAGGACACCTGGAACCCAGCGCTGGGAGCTTCTACCTTATACATAATAAAAACCCACAAAACAAACTAACAGCTTCTGTCTGTTCAAAGTTCCTCCCCACTGCAACTCTCTTACCTTCCTACTGCAATTCTTAGATCAAAGAAGAGTTTACTCCTCTTAAAGATAAAAGCCAGACTCCTTTACCTGAAAGATGGTTATTAGGAATAGTGTCAGCTCTCTCCCCTACTCCAGCAGTGTCAGGATTGTTCCTCAAGCACAAACTACTCAGTGAAGGTGTCTATAAATTCTGCTCATTAATGTGGCTAAAGTTGTGATGCTCAGGAGTACAAGAAACAATCTTCCTGATGAAGCTGAAGATTTCTCAAGCACCAAAGCAGAGACCACCAACCTTCAGATAAGCCAGGCATGATTTTTGTTCTTTACAGACCTGTAAGCATGATGCAGTCACATTAAAACTAACAGTTTCAGGAACTTTCTGGTCTTGATTAGGTTCACATATTTTGTAAGTTATAGCTACTCAAAGCCAGTAGTGCAATTCCCATCAACTGCAGAGCATCACACACTGGACTTTTATCCATGGTGCAATCCCTTCTCCTGAGGGAACTAGTGAAAAGCAGCTTGATAGCAGCCAG